CACACATGCCCCTTCTACTCTGGGGGGCAACAGACCGGTTGCTTATCACCAGCACGCATTAATCTCTGGAGCTCTCTCCGAATGCGCTTCTTTCAAGTTTTTTTAATCAAAATGGACTGAATCATCGTATAGGACCTTATAGTCCACACTTGTCGACTCTAGGCTTCTTTCCCAGCCTGCAGGCATGGGCTCAAGGGTCGGGTGGGCTGGAGTTACGTTCTTGCTATGGAAACACAAGCCTGGGCAATTTTTGACTATGGTCATGGCACTTCATGTGTCCTAAGCACGAACGTAGCACTGGTGAGGCCTGCGCCCATAGGCGATGAAAAAATGCAGAAGAGCTTTGACCCACTTTCTCCATCTGCTGTTTTTGCTGGTTAAGGACCATGGCTTCCTTCCCCTTGGGAAAGCCTTCCCTTCATGTTGTACGTTGTTACATATTAAATTCGTACCCCGAGTTGTGTTCAATCCATTGATTAAGATGACGGGTGATGTAGCGATGTGCGAATATAGGTGCTGACGGAGAAAGGGGGTGGGGTCGTACACATGGTTGTACTTGCTCGGAAGACTGTTGAAAGTCAGTAATACGAAAAGGAAGAAAACCCTGGCCATGATGGTGTCTGTATTTAACGACCAACGTACTGGAGTGGAGACCTATGCGGTTTGCTGATATGGAACAGGGATTACGGTATGTGTTCGATACTTAGGGGGTACGATTTGGGGTGGGGGGGAGGCGGCGCTCGCGGGGGTTGCGGGGTAGTGGCCGATGTCTTGGTACCAATTGGAGTCTCCCGGTTGTTCACTCTCCACAATTGATTGGCCCCTCAGGGGTGTTGTTTCCCCCTCAGGGGTGCTGTTTTCCCCCTTTGTAAGGTGCCTTTTGCTTGCCGGTGATTAGCAACCGGACTGGTGCCCCACAGAATAGAAGGGGCTGTGTGTTTGGTGTCACAGAAAAGGTACGGAAAAAAGAAACAAAAAAGTTCTCCAATGCTTACTTGGGCGGCTGTTCCCATTGCTCCTCTCCCTCTCCTTCCTCCTTCCACTCTTGGTGTCCATTGCCTATTCATTAGCATTTGGTAATCTTGTATCTCCTTGTCCTGGAAAGGACGTAAGTTTTATGATCTGGAGGAGAGCCATGTCCTCCCATGGTAGGTCCATCTCGAAGAGCTGAAGTCACAGAGATTCATCTCCCGCCATGTGAGCTCCATCTTGAAGAGCTGAAGGTACACAGAGCGATGTCTTGCCATGGTAGTGCCATCTGGAGAGCTGAAGTCACAGAGACGCATGTCGTTACCATAGTAGTCCCATCTTTTCTATTTTTTTCTTTTCTTTTTTTTTTATATGCCCCCATCCCGTAACCCCTTGACCGAAGCCGATGAGTGCGTTCACCGAGCGGCAAAGGCCTGTCGAGACAGTCCCCGCCTAGCAGTCGTGCTCTGGCATGGAGGTCTCTGCTCTTCATCCAGGTATGGTAGTTCCAATGTGAAGAGCTGAAGTCACAGAGAGCCATGCCCTGCAATGGTAGTTCTGCCTCGAAGAGCATTCTTATTTCCTGTTTTGCATGAAGTGCCTTGCATTCCATGGCTGGGTCGACTATGCTTTTCGGCCTCCTTTTGTGGCCGGTCTTGCTACGCACTCATGGGCTACTTCGGTTATGAAGCATTATGCTGTTGAGGCATTTCCCCGCCCATGGACAGACAGACTGCCGCTTTTCTTTGCAATTCTGCGGTGAACTTTTTGGGGTTGTACAGATCGAAGACGAATTCGGTGAAGACGGTACACTGTACCTAGGCATTCTCCTAACGTACCGTTGGCACCTTATCGTAGAGGTGGCGAAATTGGATTATTTGGTGGTGCCGGAGTTGGTAAAACAGTGTTAATTATGGAATTAATTAATAATATTGCTAAAGCACATGG